TTGGGCCTGTGAATGAGTTTTATATGTGTTCTTCTTTCTTTTATCCGTGTAAACTTCGATTAGTGGTCCACTTTCATGTTTATTGGGCCTGGGAATGAGTTTTATATGTGTTCTTTTTTTCGTGTAAACTTCGATTAAGGATCTAGTGATACCTATTGGTTGACACCACTGAGTGTATGGCCGTAGCCTGTAGTTATAATCAGAGTCTCCTAACGGGGGTGACTCCCCCACACCTGAGTTGTTCGCTACAGTTAGACTAGGCCAGTCTAGGGTGACAAAATCTTGATCAAAACCAACATTTAGAAAATGCCATGATAGGCGAATTAGTCACTATCATGTATGGTTATAACGACTCACTTAGAGGAATTAACGTTGTAAGATATACGGGAAACCATCTTAATTTCTTTTCTTTGATAAAACGGGAAACCATCTTTTTGATAAAACGGAAATCTATAACATAGGTACTCAACCACAGGGATTGAGATTCCAGCATCATCTAATTAATGCAAACAACATCGGGTTGTCTGGAAATCATTATATTTCTATTTTTGTAAACATTAACACACATGCATTAATATAAGATCGGATACAAATATTTCAAACCATTTCTTATTAGAAAATATTGGATTTTTGAATGCACTATGAAAACGATTCTAAACAAGTACAAAAACCATTTTTATTTAAAATTGCTTATGAACTCACCAACTTTTTAGTTGACGACTTTTAAAACGACTTGTATTCTTAGGAATTCCAGTAGTAGGTAATAAGCTCGACTATGAGGTCAAGTGGTGCAACTTCAAGAAATTTTACTTTCTTACTTTTGTGTAACTGATGAACAAATTCAATATGTAAACTATGTAAGTGTGTATCTTTGATGTATGATGTTTGGTTGCTTTGTTTCATTCATATTCAATTATTATGATACTATACACGAAGTCGTCCGCCCCCGGACGTTTTCGCTGTCCAGGTTCGGGGGTGTGACAATTGATGTACATTAACACCAAGATGATCCATATATACATCGATTACAAAATCAGAAGCATACCCTACTTCGATTAGTTCCATGTAATCCATGTCATTCGCGATAAACCTTAATCCACCAGGAAAACAATATCGGGCATGCAAAAGTACACATTCACACATATCTCACATGTGAATCTTTCAAGGAACTCGACAAATTCCTTCTTGTCCATTCCATCAAAATCAACGTCATCAAACCTTTGCTCTGCTCCATCTGCATAAATAATAGAGGGGTAACTAGTAAAACTTACAACAAAATGTAGATCAATCTTCATGAAAACGGCCATAACAACAACAAAGTTCCTTGATTTGAGTGACTAACACTTGAAGAAAAGGATAGGACCGAAGAATAGATCAACAACAAATTTCGATGCGGGGAAGTTAAAGAAGAAACTTTTAGAAAGGGACAGTTGAGGGGTTTAAACGTATAGTATCTCTCATTAAGTCCTATGCACACATGATAATGACATGGACTAAATTAATCTATTTGGATATGAGGGGGAAATAAAAAATTGTTGGGTAGGATGGGGTCACCAGGTGACCCCTTCATTTTTTTCAATAGTGCCCTTTTAAAATAAGAAATAATAAGTTTATGCCCTTAAAATACAAAAAAATAGTCACGAGGGACCATTTAAACCATTATACGTAACTTTATTGAGCTACAGTGACAATAACCCTTACTTTTTCTGACAACTTAGGCAATGAATTTGATTTACCTCTAAGCAATGCTAAAGAATGCAGGTTAGCGAAAGATGTTGCCCATATCTTTTGTTTTAAAAGAAAATGGATTACATGGCTTATATATAATAGAAAATTACCTAAATTTTTAATTTTTCGATCGTACGACTAATTTGGTTTATTTTGAGTCTATTAAACTTAATTTGTATTTCCTAATCATCTTATAATATATTAGTTACTAGGTATGAGACCCGTGTAGTACGCGAGTTTATTAAAAATAAAAATTTAATATCAATATTTAAACATTAAATATTTTATAAAATAACATTTTTACATAACATAATATAATCTTTTGAAACATTTATAAAAGAACTCAAATGTTTATTAAAGTATTTATGAGATTTTATTATCAAATTGATAGAATGATTCTTTTTCCTTATAAAACTCCTTAGAATTTTATGGAATTTTATTTTAAAAATAAATGAAAATTCCTAAAAAATGAAAAGTGGAAAATAATAATTTTAAAACTCCCACAAAAAGAATTTGACAAGTGACAAAAAAATAATTCATTTATTAGAGATGATATATGTACGATTATATACTTAACAAAATAACATTCATTAATAGGTAAGAAAGAATATATATATATATATATATATATATATATATATATATATATATATATATATATATATATATATATATATATATATATATATATCGGCCATTTTTTTAAATATTATGATTTATTATTTTATTTGTTTTTTTGTTTGCAACCGTGTAACATATGGGCTCATTTTCAATTAGGTTGTCATTTGAATTTGGTCGATTTGGGTTTCTTTGTCTTGATCTTGAGATTTGGTTTGAATGATTATCAACATACGATGAAGACTCTATAGTTTTTCAAAGTCATCGTGCTAGAAGGGATTTAACCCAATTCGAGGAGCAACAGAGTTTTGGCTTCAAGCTTATCAATCACTCTTTAATACATTTTGGGAATTGTTATGTTTGCAAAGCGATACATGGGTGAATTATTATCAACTTTTTGTTAAAACTTTTGATGCTCATAAATGATTTTATTATATCATGGTTAATTTATTTGTAGGCTTGACACTACATAAAGATGAGAAGAGAATACATGTATTCTAGAGTTAAACATTTAAGGCTTCTTCAAACTTTGAAACAACACCAACGTAGCAAGGAACTTTCTAACCATACCAAAAAGACCAATTATTTTTGTCAATTAATTATATCTTACTAGTGAATTTTCTAACCATACCAAAAAGACCAATTATTTTTATCAGTTAATTATATCTTACTGGTAACCGGTTAACTTTGATCAACAATGTCTAACGATATCTTATTATTTTAAGATATGAGAAAAACATTAGTTTGATAAAAATAAATTATAACTAAATGAAGCTATATATATATATATATATATATATATATATATATATATATATATATATATATATATATATATATATATATATATATATGTTTGTTTGTTTAAAATTAGATCTCTTTATAAATATAGGTATGGTATTTGTTATAATTTAAAATAAAATCAATTTAACAATATAGCCTTAAAATAGCAAAGTACTTTAAACTTCATTGCTACAAATGACAAGCATGGCCCCACTTATTAAGTTTTATTTGAAAAAAAAATAAGTTTCAAAATTTTATTTTTACGATTGATTGTCTATGTTTTTTCAATTATTATAATTTAACATTTTATTCTAAAAAATAATCATTTTATCATTAATTTCGAAACAATGAATGTTGGTCATATCTTTAGAAAATTTGGCATTAATTTAAATAAATATTTATGCAATTAAATATAAAATATTTACAACATGGATTAAATTTTTTTTAGTTTATATTTTTGAAAAATAAATGATAAAAATTAACAGAAAAATACAAGTGTTTAGTAAAAATATCTATTAATTCTAAATAATCAATATAAAAGTCTGAAACAAAACTTATATCTTATTAATTTAACAAAATTTTATGAATCTTCTATCCTAGGTTTTTATGGGTTGTAACCTAGTGGAATTAATAACATCAAAAACGTCTCACTAAATATTACCATAGGCTTCATCAGGTAAATGTAGAATGATTACGTGCCCTCACTAAATATTACCATACGCTTATCAGGTAAATCTAGAAATCATCTCATTCTCCTTCAGCCGACAACGTCTCCATTGCATCTTCTCCACTTCGGCACAAGGTCGTTCAACGAGCTTCATTACAGGTAATATATATATATATATATATATATATATATATATATATATATATATATATATATATATATATATATATATATATATATATATTACCTGTATATCAAATCGCATTTTATACATTCGAACCAAACAACCCCCTCTGAAGTTGACCCCCAAAAGAGCTACCGTGACATCATTGGAGGGTCTCTGATATCATGATATTCAAATATGAAAAAAAATCTCTTTCTTTTTCTTCAATATTTTTATTAGTCGAACTTAATTTATAGTGGATGTGATTTAGGGATTTTTTTTTATTGTAAAGAATCAAGTCTTTTTTGGTTCTGAACGGATCTAAACCATACTTCCATACTTACCAATTACATAGTGAGAAGTGATTGAATTCTCACTTTGTTCTTGCTCTTGATGATTGATTGGTTAATATGCATAATTGGATTATTTAACATAACAAAAAGTAATCTATTGTTTACCCTTATCAAAAGTATCCATTTTTGTAAATCTTCCAAGTTTGTCATAGTTTAAATAGTGATTCAAGGAGTTCTTGATCATACACCCTTACTTGTCTAATGCATTGTATCAAGTATGGTTGCTAGTAACATTTTTCGAAATAAATAGAACATAAATTCTGATATGGTTTCATTTTCTTATGTGAAAATAATTGTTGTACATGATATCAGAATATACCATTTTGTTGTTTTTAAATCAATGGTATGTGAAATTAGAATACACACACACCGTGAAGAAGGTGATAGCTTTTAAGTTATGTTTTTTGGTAACGTTATTGGGACGTGTATTGAAATGATTTTAAACTATGAAATCTTTTGCATGATTTCCGTATTATATTGACACGAACATTCATTCAATCAAATAAAATTTTGCTATTTTTATAATTTACATAACATATCTTATACATATAAGTTAAAAAAGAAAAATAAAATTAAGCAAAATAGGAAAAAAAAAATGAAATTTTATCATTTTACATGAATTCTAATTCTAATTTCCGCTGAACCAAACACACTCTACAATTTCATTTGCTGTCAGCCAAACAGGTTACAGAATTAGAATTCAAATTCCTTTTCTTTTCCGCTTCCAATTGCAATCACCTTATTGTAAAATGGACTAAAAATTTAAAATTATATTAAGGGTTTTATGGAATTAACAATCGTTATTTTAGTCACGGTAAAAGTGACCTATGCCGAAGAGCTGAGGGAGTACCTTGGCCTGTGTGCAGTATCGATTTGGTCAGCCCTGCACACAAGGATCGTCGAAGAGCTGAGTTCTGTTGATTTGTAGGTTTCTTCTGCTTTCAGAGTTGTCTGTATTACATCAAATCAACTATTGAGATTTGAGAGCCTTTCGTCAGGTAATCATTGTAAATTTTGTTGATTTGAATCCCACCCTGTATTAGGTCAGGATTTAGGAATTGCAACACCTCAATCAGCGCCACACAGAGTAGAAGCAAAATTAGGGAAGTTGAGATTGAGAAACGATTCTTTAGACCTCCAATCCAGAAACAATCGCAACTCATCGTAATTCGCTTCGGTGCTTCTTCGGATAATCGGCTACTTCATTCAACTATTGAAATTTGAAGGTACATATTAGTTACCATTCAATTAATCAGGTTCATCAACCACTTATCACCCCTATTTGCTTTCTGCGTTTCTTTGATACAATCAACATTGCAATTAACCGAAGAAAGATCGCGCTTTGAATGGGTACACGAAAAGTTGGGAATGTCGGACTTCCATTGATGAATATTATCAGAATGAAGGGAGTACCCATCCTGCACCAGTTACACATCGAGGAGTGTCTTCTTCGAACCTCATCAGACAATTGGTGCATCATTAACGATGGGACAAATAAACCCAATATAGTCATGGGGATTTCTGGGTAACTTTCTTCGCAACTCCTAACAACACATTTCATCTAATCTTTTTCTCTTACATTCTAAATTTATATGTTATATTAGGAAACCTAGTGAACTTGTTGAAATTACCCCTGTGCTACAACATAACATCCCTGTGATTCGAAGGTTTACTGGTGGTGGGACAGTTATAGTTGATGATGGAACGATATTTGTTTCATTTATATGCAACAAAGATGATGTTCCTCATGTACAACCATATCCTAGACCTATCATGTCATGGAGCAGCTTGTTGTACTCTAAAGTCTTCCATGGAGTTGCTGATTTCAAGCTTCGTGAGAATGGTATATGATATGAGAATCCAATAAAAATATCCTACTTAAAACCATAATTAATTGTGTTTTTTTGTTATAGATTATGTATTTGGTGTTCGGAAATTCGGGGGAAATGCACAATCAATAACTAAAAATCGGTGGATACATCATACGTCTTTTTTGTGGGATTACAAGACACATAACATGTCGTATCTTAAGCTTCCAAAACGGGCCCCTGAATATCGACTTGTATGCTTCTTGATTCTTATTTTTTGATTTAAAATTCAACAATGTGAATCTTTTTAAGCATTTATTTTTTTATTTTCATGGTAGGCGAGGGATCATCTTGATTTCATCTGTCCGATAAAGGACTATCTTTCAAGATCAGATTTCATTAGCAAAACCATTGATGCAGCAGCAACTTGTTTTTCACTTACCTCAACACAACCTCCATTAAATCTTGAATTCAACCCCACGTCAAAATTACTAACGAGAGTGGAATTAGAGGCTTCAGCAATCAAATCGTTATAAAAGAAAAAGGGTAGTTTTGACAATTTGGTGAGAAGAAGAAGATGGTGATTAAAACTTGTGCAAATCACCAGTATTGTTACATTGAATTTGAAATTAAATACAAAATTGATATTTATTGTGATCAGACTGATTTGTTTTAATAATAAAGGAGTTAGATATAAGAACTTTAGTGGACAAAAAAAAGGTTGGTAACTTTCAGTAAGATTAACATTATTTGTTAATTGTATTATTTATCAAAAAAATTCAGACACTTGAACAAATGTTTATTTGATTATTACAACTTCAAATAACAATAACGCATCCAAACAGTATATTTTTAAAACCTGTTTTATTATTGTTGATTATTTGGTACTGATTTATTCAATAATCTTAATCCTTTTTATAATGAACACCCAAACATCTCATAAGTATCCAATTCGATTGTTAGCATAGCATGGCTCGTTATCTTGAATTTGATGGTTTATTTTGTCATTAGACACATTACTAATAGGGACTGAAAATAGAACTTTTCTTATCCAAAGGACTATTAATGTAATTTATCGCATTTATGATTTATCACATAGCAGTAGATCATCATCTCTTTGTTTCACCGCTTAGTTCGAACGTCATACATATATCCACCAAACGTTGTCAGGTCACCAGCATCAGCAATCTCTGTGTGTGTGTATATATATATATATATATATATATATATATATATATATATATATATATATATATATATATATATATATATAATTTTCTTACAAGCGTTCGCATCTATCGCTCCGTGGTGACGATCGCAAGGTCCGCAATCGCAGCAGAAGTGTAAGACCTTCCCTTTTTTTCTTTTTCTCTCTCTTCTTTCTGTGATTATGTTCAATTTATTCACGGAATTGACATCATTTCTTTGAATAGCTCAAGTTCTGATTGCATCGGATTTGTCATGTTAACTTTGATGCCTCTTCAGTTTCTTCCTGTATGCCGATAATTGAAATCAAGGTTTCTGTTCATTTCTAGGGAATCAATTCGGTCATATTTGCTTGAAAGGATTTCGTTATACCTTAGCAGGCACCTGTCATCGCTTCGTTTTCCTCGAATATCGTAACTTTTAAGGTATTTTGCGCCATCTCTGACGATATTACACCAAATATATGTTTAATTTCTCATCTCTGTATCTGAAGGTTTTCGTTGATTGCAGTATGGGGAGGGTGAAGCTGAAAATCAAGAGATTAGAGAACATTGGTAATCGACAAGTGACGTTTTCAAAACGAAGGAATGGAATCCTAAAAAAAGCCAAGGAGTTATCTGTATTATGTGATATTGACATCATCCTTCTCATGTTCTCTCCAACCGGAAAACCTACATTATTCACCGGACAACGAAGGTCATCTCCTAATCCTACTAATTCTTATCAAAATTGCTCATACTACGCTTTTATTAGGTTATAAATCTCCATGAATCAACATTCATTGAAAGAAAACCTCTTTTCGACATTAATAATAAGTTTTCAATATTCCTTTTCCATTTCCAGCAACATTGATGAGGTTATTGCAAAGTTTGCTCGACTAACACCACAAGAACGAGCAAAAAGGAAATTGGAGAGCCTCGAAGTAAGTCAGACTACATATGTTTGATCATTCATTTCCCTTCTGCAACTATCTTTTCAAATACTAATTAAATAAAAATTACCTACATAGGCTTTGAAGAAAACGTTCAAGAAGCTGGACCATGACGTAAATATACAAGATTTTGCAGGGGCAAGGTTGTCATTAATCCTCGACACTTTTCTAAATCCTTTTCTCCCCCTTTTGATGCAACAAACATCTGATTATCTTTTTTACTTTTGGTTTTGTTCTATTTTGCAGCAGTCAATCAGCTGAGGTCACAAGATGCTCATCTCTATAACTTTTTATCTTGAAAATTACATAATAACTTCTGTTGATAAATAATATTTTATTTATTAGTTAAATATAATTTTTCAGGATTTAACCAACCATGCAATGATGTTGCGATCTCAACTTTCTGAATTACATAAGCGACTAAGGTAATTTCTTACATTTTTTTTTTTTTTAAATATGATTCTTTATCTTTCTACATTTTTTTTTGTTTATTTTGATTAGTTATTGGAGTAATCCAGACAAGATTGAGAACATTGAACATCTTAAGCAAATGGAAGACTCCTTAAGAGAATCACTCGATCGCATTCGGATACACAAGGTATTTGTTTCTCTTACAAATCTACCCAATTATAGCATTATACTTTCATTTTTTTAAATTATTATAATAATGTAATAATAATCAATGAAAGTACACTGCTATTTCTTGCATTCAACACTAAACGAGTCAACAAATTGTATTTCTAGGAAAATTTCGGACAACAAAAACTTATTCCGCTAGATTGCACAAACCAGGTATTATCTCTTTGCAAAATTCCATTTTTGCCCTTTCCATTATACATTTGACATACAATAATGTTGGCATTTCAGTTCCAAAGTGGGTTGCATTTACCTCTAATGATGACCAATACCCAAGAAGATCAAACCCTACAATGGCTTCCGAATAACGAAAGTCAAAATTTGATCTTGACAGATAAACAAAATTACATTCCTCAAAGGTCAATAAATCATAATTCATAAATCCTAAGATTCATTCTAGATTATTTTGGGAAATTAATATTTTCTGTTTTGTTTTTGACTTATAGAGATGGGGAATGTTCTGGTGTGTCTCTTTCAAACTATTCCGGTTTGTTTACCAGCAAAGGGATAGAAATGGAAAAAGTTGACCGGTCAAGGCAAGTAGTTGGTGGTTTGACAGAACTATGTAGTACATCAAATTTCCCTTTTAGCCCCTTTGGAAATCTGAATTTTCCACAAACAAAAGAAATGAAGCCAGATACATCAACCAACTTACAAGGGTTTCTAGATTATTCTATAAATTGTAACTTTGAGATGCCTAGAAATGTCTACAATGACAACTTGTGTAACCCATGGAACCCTGAACCCGGTCCATGTCCTCTTCCTTTGATCTATGGAAACTACTCTCAGGTAAATAAAAATAAAAAAAATACATTATGATTTATGAATAAAGAAATATAATTACATCACTATTTTGGCTTTTTTAGTAACATTGAGTTATGTTTGTTTCAGCAACCGGATCATCTAATGTCAAACAACGAAAGCTGAAGGAGAATTCTCGTGTCACGTTTTTTTTTTTTAGAAAGTAATACTTTGGTTGTATAATGTGAACTAAAAAGTATTATTATATAAGGCCTTTTTTTTTGTACACCGACTAAATAACCATTAAGCCGATTAAATTAAAAGCAAACAGCCACTTAGATATCTTTTGCTGAAACTTACCTTTGTGAATTATGGTAATAAGTAAAAACAAGTTCAAATAAATCATAAATCACCATCTCATATTTTATATTCACAACACATGGTTTACAAATAAAGCAAAAGAAGATCGATACTGTTTAGTTTCCTGAAAGTGTTTGGACAATAGTGTTATGCCATGGGTCTGAAAGGTGTTGCAATAGGTTGTCAAATGGCCCTTTTCCGGTGACATTATGCTGAACGATGAACCCTAGAAACGCCAACATCGCTAACCTCCCTGTAAAAAAATATTAATATTAGAAATTTTTATTAGGGGTAAAATGGTAATTTTGTAACTTACCATTGGCAATCTCTTTCTCTTTGGCTTCAGCGGTTGGTGCAAAGTTGAGTGGGTTGAATATGCCACCTGGGTACCCGACTTCGTTAGGAGGTAAACTGTAGCTTTTGAAGATCGGATCTTGGTTTACACTTCCTGGGTTCTTGATGTCTTGCCATCTTCTGATTTCGACGTAGTGGAAAAGAATGAATTCGATCACCAACAGGGTTGAGGATGATGCGAAGTATTCTGATTTTCCGGCGTCGTACCATTTAGGAACGTTGAGTACGCCGATGCTTGTGAAAACCTCCGGCAGTAGCATTCCGGCGACACCCAACATGGCCCACCTCCCGTTCACAAGCTCAGCTTGGACGAACCACTTCAGATTCTCCGGGTCCTCCGCTAGACCCAATGGGTCGAACCCGTTGTCACCTGGAAGACTGAAAATAAACATGGTTTTTACTTTTACAGTTAGTTCATGGACATTGGATTAGGGTTTTTAATTGGGGATTTTTGAAGTTATGTTTACCTTCCGTCGAGGTAACCAGGTGAGGCTAACCCCGGTAGCCATTGGCCTTTTTTGGCTTCGATCTTGAAGGAAGCAGATGAGAAAGTGTTTGCAGGTTTGAGTGATACTTCTTTGTTTAACTTCCCTGATGATCCGGTTAGGAATCTGGTTCGCGAGGCGCATGGTCGGAAGACTGCGACCGGAGATTGTGTGACGGCGGCCATGTTTTCCGGCAATGGAGTGGTGGTTTGTAGTTTGTAGAGGTGAGTGTGAGTTGAAAATGTGTGATGTGGGTGCATCCTTTTGTAATATTGATTGAAGTGGTGATCTTGTGGCTGTGGTTTGGGGTTTGATGATTTAGTAGATTTTGAGGGAAATGATGGGAAACTGACCAATGAGAAGCAATGGGTGCTTATCCTTATCTGAGGTGGCATATCCACAAAATCTATTACGTTGATGTTGTTGGTCACAAGTGTCTTGTGGGACCCACTGATTGCCATGTAGGAAGATTTTTCTTGGTCTTGCTATTTGGAATGTTTGTTAGCCACCCTTATGATGACATGTGTTTCCAGGGTCTAAAAAGTAAAAACCCTCTTTGTTAGCAAAACTATAATTTTAGCGAATGTCAATTGCCGATTATAACAATGAAGTTGATGTTTCCTTTTCTTTTTAAAATATAGGTGGTTTGATTTTTATACAATTTTTTTTTTTAAATGAATAGAGATAATGTATAAAACTCAAAACACTTTTATTTTAAGAAAATAAATCAAAGATATAGGTGAAAATATCTCTCTCTTTTTTATAATAATCATCCAAGTTGTTATTTAAGTCATAGTCATTGATTTTTATCCTTTGTAGGAGAGGAAGATGTGATGACAATTGTAACCGGTTTGATTGCTATTTGGTCGCTTATGAAATGTATCTTGCCGACACCTTTCTGTTTTCGGGAGGGAACTTCCAATGAGGGTTTCCGTTCTAGCTTTTAGGCGATCTAACTAATCATTGTTGCAAACGTGAAACTATGTCTCATGTCTTGGAATCACTGTAGACAAATCTTCATGACCACAGAGGCATACTAGTGCAATGATTTGAACATGAGTCAAAAAGTTATCCACCAGATTTTTCACATGTCTTACCAATTTATTACAATCTAAATGGTTGACACCTTTTTATTTTGTTTTAATATTAAAATGATTTTAAACATGAAACCAAAATATAGTAAATAGTCAAGAAGTTACAACTAGATGTGGACATCGAGGCACGATTGCCTCATTAGGGTTTAGGTCAAGATTGTAACCAGTTAAAATTGTCCAATTTCAACAAGATATTAACATCTAGGGTTCATCATTCAATTATAGAAAGTTCAAACATTTATAAAATTCTAAAAAGTGATTGCCTCATTGGGGTTTAGGTCAAGATTGTAACCAGTTAAAATTGTCCAATTTCAACAAGATATTAACATCTAGGGTTCATCATTCAATTATAGAAAGTTCAAACATTTATAAAATTCTAAAAGGTGATTGGTTAAGTAACTAGAGAATCGATCTCCATTAGTTAAAACCTAGTTTATTTAGTTGTTTCTTTTCTTTTTAGTGTGACAAAACATGTGTAAATGTAATGAAAACATGTGACAAAACATGTGTAAATGTAATGAAAACACAAACATAGGCTAATTATGAAAAACCTACTATATTAATTTTGTGAATATCAAAGCCTTCCCATAACTTTTATACATACGTAAAAGCCCCCATATATATATATATATATATATATATATATATATATATATATATATATATATATATATATATATATATATATATATATATATATATATATATATAAAGAGAGAGAGAGAAAGAGAAGTAGGTTCCGTTGAGATTCAAAATAAAATAGAGATCTTGAGATTCAATCTCAGTCACATATTTTATATCTGTCGTTCTAACACTTCAACGTACCGGCGCGATGGGTTAGTTATAATCATAAATGATTATATAGCGCCGCTCATTCCTTTCTCCTCCACCACCATCCCTAGCATCATAACCGTCACCGCTACCACCACCTCTACTACTAGCCGACCCCACCACTACAAGCTTCGTCACTTATACCACCACTAACTCTACCACCACCAACTATCATAATCATAAATGATTACTCAATCTGTGAGTAGACATATATGTATAATCATTTATGATTAAACATATATGTATAAATATGTTTAATCATATATGGATATACCTCTCAGTCATATAATCATTTATGATTAGGCATACCTCACTGCTGCCGGTACGTTGGAGCATTAGAACTGAAAATGAGAAATATGTGGCCAAGGTTGAATTTCAAAATTTCTATTTTTTTTAATCTCAAGTGAACAATCTCATATATATATATATATATATATATATATATATATATATATATATATATATATACTTACTCTACTAAATGAAAATCCATTTTGCAACATGTTGTGACAACCCGATATTTCGAGACAATGAAATGTAACACCAGTCAAATATAGGTAAAAATTTAACTTTCCTAAAATCTTATTTGGGTTAAATAAAGTGGTAGGAATCGTATCAAGGTTTTCGTGCATATAAAGAACACTAAAATCTGAGTTATAACGAAGAAGTTATGACCAATCTAAGATTCGCAGCGAAAATCGGCAACACTGATAGACGTAAAACGCGAAGTTTCAATACAATAATTTTTAGCCTTAGGTATCTAAATTAAAGTTTTAGATATCCCAAAACCGTAAGCATACCTAAAAAGAATGTCCAAATCTGACTTCATATGAGGAAGTTATGATTTTTCGAAGTTTCAGACATAGCAGTAGACAGCTAAAAACTCGAAATCGAGATCGAGCGGATTTTTGCCAACATGACCTAAACGAGAATCGAAGATCTCATCAATGGTATTACAACGGTAAAAAGTCTGGCGAAAACAAACAGCGGACGAAGGAGTTATGAAATTTTAACGGATTTTTCCTGTCCCGGCCTATTAAAAATATAATATTAAAAATAAAGTCAAAACTAGCCAATGGAGTCTAAACGAAAGTTGTAGATTGTAGTATCACCTACGCGTGGATATAAATAACGTCGAAAACGAAGTTCGTATGAAGAAGATATGAATTTTTGAATTTTATTAATAATTAAAATATTTAATTTAATTAAAATTCGATATTATCCGAAGGAGGAGTCATCGGACCAATCCAGGTTACGCCCAGCGTACCCTTGTACGCCTCGCGTACTCGGATGCTCTACCTCAGTTTTTCCACGTCGCTACGATGCTTCGACCGAGGATGCAGTCATCCATGACGTCGCGTACGCCTCGCGTACAAGCGTACGCCCAACGTACACGAGGCTTTCGGCCCCTATATAAAGGGTGTGAGGATGCCGGCCATTCTTGCTAATTTCCTTCCCTTCTCACGCCGAAGCTCTGCGTTTCAACCCTTGGAGCCATCCCAAAGTCCCGGTTTTCATATCCAAGCTCGGAAGGAAGTTTTACGCCCCCGAGATTCCCGAGATTCCCGAAAATCTGGAGAGATCCGCTCTCTCGAGTAGAAGTTCTGCTCGGTTTTCGTCGCGCTTTCTTCAATCAATCATGTGAGTTCATACCTCTATAATTCACACTTTTAAATGTTTTATGAGTACTTTTATATGCTTTTAGGGGGGGGGGGATACAAGTAAAACACTCGATTATTATTGTGTGTTATATAAACTTTCACTATACGCGTTTTATCAAAGGAATCATATGTGATTTATAACTATTATAGAGAAACTTTCATATGCAAATTATACCACGACAACATTTTATCTTTTGAAATGAGAAATGATTTATGTATTTATATAAGTCAGACATTTTGCTTATACTATATTTATGTGTGTTGGTTTTGGTACTACAAAAACTACACTTTTCATAACAAGCGAGCATTTCACCTAGGGGTTTCTATACAAACGAGAGACACTTTTAGAAACCTATAATAGGTATAGTTTTACGAGAACATCACGAACTTTTACATACTAGAAATACTATTTCAAGGAGATACACTCATATACAAGAACAAACAAACATTTTCATATGTACTTCAAATAGTTTTCACAAATGTTTTTACATGTTAAAACACTTTTAGAAACTGTCTTACAAACTGTATGTTTCTTTTTTTTGAATCTGTTATAGTTGTGCATCAAACAAAGGTTTTCTTACACTTAAACTGTCTTGTCAACTGTTTTCGAATCGTTTTATAAACTGACATCAAGTCACAAATTCTTTATTAGACTTTTCAACGGTTTTACAAAACTTCTTTTATGCTTTTATATTATAAATTGCATGCCTCTATATGTATAGTTATATAAGAAATGTTTAAAAGACTTAGGAAGGCTATCCACCCTGTTTCCTTTTCCTCGATTTGGATGTGGTCTGGTGGGATATCGGGTACCCGTCCGAAGGTCGTTTAAATATTAGTTATATATCTTGTGTACATATATAGTCATAAATGTTCCATCAGTTAATTCTGTTCTGACGCCCATGGGTAGCAAGGGTGTATAAACCTACTTGGACACTCATCAATTACATTCTAGTAAACTATTATAGGAATAGTTTAGGGGATACAAAACATTATCCCTATTACAAGAAATTACACCAAAGTCAGTTCATTCATGAGTCTAGACTACATGCTATATGAAGGGATACTCTTACAGAGATTCCTCTTGCATGGATATATTTATATGAATACTCTTACATAGATATGCTTACATGAGTACGTTTACAGGAATACTTTTACATGAATACTTTTACATAGATATTATATGACAAATTACTATTACATATTATATGTAACAGCCCGGAATCTCAGGTATTGTTTAAATTGTGTTTTTGGGGTGTTTTAAGAGGGGACTCGGCGAGTTGGAGCCTAGACTCGCCGAGTAGGACCGCAGACTTGGTCACGGGTTCGCGACTGGACTCGACGAGTCCAAATATGGACTCGGCGAGTCTGCGCTGTTTAGCGAAAACCCTAGCCGTTCAGTTTTGGGACGTATAAAAGGGACTTATAGGCCGTCATTGTTCGTTTTAGCCTTCTGAGAAGAACCCTAATTCGGTTGTGTGCATCTGGAGCAAGGTTGAAGACCATTGTTGAGTTTAGAAGAGTTGTTGTGCAAGGAAGAGAAGGCTTGGTGAAGGGAACAACAAGAGAAGTCACGTTCTGAGGATTGGGGACACAGAGAGAACACATTATTCAGGTAATAAATCGAAT